ATGCTGCCCAGCACTAAGGCAGTGGAAGTGGGTTAGGGTGGGCATCAGGGAGGGACCTTAGTTTAAGGAAATACCAGGGCCGTTCGGGCTTGGGGGGGCAGCTCTGCTCCTTCGAGCCAGGCCTGCAGACCCTGTGGTCTTTCTCAGTGCCAGGAGTCTTACCACTGTGGTGCCAAACATGAGTCCCTTCCTGCTGCCCCAGCTGCTTGTAAACCTCTGGGGGTGGGGGGAGAAAGAAGTGGCCTCTTCGGCGGGTAAACAAGAGGGAGGAGCTGCAGTCACTTCCAAGTTTCATTTTGCAGGGAGAGGAAGCGAGCTGTGCAGCCGTCCCCTCGGGCAGGCCGGCTGGGCATCCTGGGGCTTGCATGGAACAATCCTCAGCCCACCCCCCATCCGCTCACCGTGCTACTGCATCACACCATCACACCCGCTGGAGAGGAGGCAGTGGCAAAGCGTTTGCCTCCTGACTCAGGGAAAGGAGCCCAGCTATAGGCTGAATCTGCATTGGTCTTTCCCACTGTTGCCACATTATCTCTCAAATTACTTGTCTGCATTTCAGGTTGCATCCGTTTTCCAATTGTTTCGGCACGTCAGCGGCTGTCTGCATCATTTTATTGCCCTTTGGTGTTGATTTCAAGGTCACTGCAGTGCCTCACCGCCTTATTTGCATCCGGTTTAAAACCGGTCCAGGTGCTCCTCTCCACTCTCACACGCTGCTATGAGCTATAAGCAGACAACTGGAGCCATTTCCCCCGCCATTTTTTCTATTATCCACCAGGTGGCAGTAGTGTTTTCTCCCCATATCGGTGGAAATGCGTTTGAAAACAAACAGGGAACATTTCTCTTGTAAGATCTTTTTTTTGGGGGGGGGGGGAGGCACAGCACCCTGCCTAGCAACTGATGGGTGATCAGTATATTACCCTGCTCATTCCGACTGTCCCCCCTCTGCCTCCCCCCCTCCCCCTCTCCCAGCTCACCCCCCTTCACAGTATGAAATAGAAATTTATTTATATTTAGCCATAAGCCATTACAAACCAAGGATTAGAGTAGATAGGCTGGAACAGTGGGGTGAGACAAATAAAATGAATTTCAATAGAGATAAGTGCAAGGTCCTACACTTAGGTATAAAAAATCAAAGGCACAGATATAGAATGGGGGGGACTTGGCTTGACAGCGGCACATGTGAAAGGGACCTGGGTGTTCTGGTTGATCACAAGCTAAACATGAGCCTGCAGTGTGATGTGGCTGCGAAGAAAGCTAATGCAATCTTAGGATGCATTAACAGAAGCATTGTGTCCAGATCAAGGGAGGTGGTAGTTCTGCTCTATTCTGCTATGGTCAGGCCTCACCTGGAGCCCTGTGTCTAGTTTTGGGCACCACATTTGAGGAAGGATGCTGACAAGCTCGAGCGTGTCCAGAAGAGGGCAACCAGGATGGTGAGAGGGTTAGAATCCAAGTCTTATGAGGAAAGGCTGAAAGAGTTGGGTATGTTTAGCCTGGAAAAGAGAAGGCTTAGAGGGGACATGATTGTAGTCTTCAAATATTTGAAGGCTGTC